GCTGGCCTAAGGGATCATCTACAAGCCAACTTCCCCCTCCCCACTTTTACCAATAAAGAAACAGCCTCAGAGAGGAAATATGACTCATATTAATCTCAGTGAACCTCCTCTATCGGCCCCACTTTCTACATTGAGAAACGAAGATCCAGAGAAGTCACGTTGCTGGTAAGCCACACCACCTGGCTGCAACAAGGCCAACGGGCTTCAGAGGCAAGCTCTTTGCCACCAGCAATGCAGTCTGATCCGGTCAGAATGTCCCCACAGAGGAGCCGGCAGCTGCCTCTCCCATGCCACCCAGTGTTCTGGTGCCTGCTCGCAGTGGGGCTCTGCTCAGCGTGCATCTCCCCCAGCAGAACAAACTTGCCTACATGCACCCTGAGAGCGGCCCCAGGGAGCGAACAGGCAGGAGGTTACCAGCAGGAAAGGGGGCCCAGGATGTGCTGCTGCTCTGTCCTACCTCATAGAGGATGTCCAGGGCCTGTTGAATGTGCCGAACATATTCCCTGGCTGAATGGGCCTCCTGTGAAAAAAGAAGGGCTCTCCTCAGCCCTGGGCGCTCCTCAGAGGAGGAGAGTGGTCTGTTCCCAGCTGAGAGAGCCCTGGGCACCCAGGATGGTGGCAGAGTGGATTTGCACAGGGGCTTGGATGGCACTGGACCGGCTAGAAGCCCAGCCCTCATTGCTGGTGGACAGGGTCTCTATTAGACACCATGAATCATCCCCACTGCACCCCCCTCCGTGGCATCTCAAGCCCACAGGCAGCCCCTGGCAGTGCTGGGCCTGCCACTCCTCCAGACCTTTCCGTCACTGGCCTCATTCTTCTCCAACCATATGGCCATGCAGGCCCCATGGGCTCCCCCGACCCATCTTCCGACTGAAGCTGGTTAAGCCCCTTCCTAGTTAGTCCTGTGGGGTGGCAGTCAGGTCCTTTTCACAAAAATACTCTCAGTATAAACCTGCTTACACAAGGGACAGGCATTCTGGGGCTAGTGGAGACATTTTCCTGTCCCAAGTCCCCACAGGTGGCTCTGAGGTCACTTCTGGCTTCCTGGACCCTGTTGAGTCCAAGATGCAATGACATTTCAATCCCCCTGGGGCGGTGTCACTGCC